TAAAATTAATACGTATATATATATATATATATATATATCAATTTTATAAATTGAATGAAAAATAGTCAAATATTAAATTTAGAAAAGATAAATACAGCACATAAAAAAAATTTGCCACGACAAGATTTTAAACTGACTATGCTTTCGGCATATACATTAGCATATATATTATACTTTATTGATTAGAATATAACCGATAATTTAAATAATAAATTAAATATAGAAAAATTGTTAAATTAAAAATATTTTTAATATTTTAATTGAAAATAATAAACCTGCAATTTTCAATTTGTGATAATAAAATAATGAAATAAGTAGAATTTATTTTCAATTCTATTTTTATTATATTTTAAACTAACACGTGTTGAATTAATCTTAAATAAAACATAATTTATAATTGTGCACATATTTATTTTAATTTATTAATATATTTTTATTTATTCATGAAATACTATTTTATAAATATAGAATAATCAATTATAAATTTTATATAAACAAATTTATTCAAAACTTACGAATGTATACGTTATTTTAAGAAATTCTACTTTTCGCGGTTTCTAATATAAGAAAATACGCAGTACATTGGAATATCTATAAGTTAGGATATTTCATGGTGTATTTGCTTCGTGTTCCCATCATCGTGATAATATTGAAGCACTAAGCATCCTGTTTCACATTGTAGTTGTGTTAGATGTCAAGATAAAAGAGTCGTATTTTGTTCGCACAACAAATGTGCGAATCGAAATGTAATTAGTGTATATAATTTATTATAATAAGTTGTTAATTAAAATGGCATGGAAACAAGTTAAAGAACATTTAGGAGTAGGTAAGAAATAAATTACAGAATATTACTAATTTAGTCTTTGTAAAGATCCAACATCCTGGGAGGTGCCCCAACCAGATAAAATTTTAATTTTTGTTTTGCGCGCGAAACATTAATTTATGACATATAAATAATTTTGCTCGTTATTTTAATTATAAGTAGTTAAATAAATAATAATTTTACTTCTATTATTCAAAAATACTTAATTAACGGATGCTATCAAAATGATCTATAATTGTTCATGACATTATCATTTATATAATAATCGCATGATATAGTATCTATATTATCTTTAATAATTATGAATATGAATATATATAAACATTTAATTAATAATGTTAAAAATAATTAATTAATAAAATAATTAAATGAGTAATTATTTAATTATTATTTTATTTTTTATATTTTATATTTTAATTAATTAAATTGTTGAAATATATAATTTTAATATAATATAATTTTTTAAAAATTATTTTTATTGTTAATTGTTTACTATTATATATAGCTATTCATAATTTTGTACATGGAACTCCTTATACAATGCGATTAACTGTTGGAGAAATTGTACAAATATTAGAAGAATGTGGAGATTGGTATTATGGACATAGTAAATTTAAAGGGACATTTGGAATTTTTCCAAAATCTTATATATATATATTACAACAATCAAAAAATATGGATTGTTTAATACATGAAATTACTAATGTTTTAAGAGAATGGGGACATCATTGGAAGCATCTATATGTGGTTTGTATAATATAATTTTATTAATAAAATTTTTATTAATTAATAAAATTTTATTAATAAAATTATATTTAATGATTAAGAAATTAATATAATTTTTATTATGGACAGATTCATTCTGTGCACTTTAGGACAATGCAACAACAAATTTTAGAGTTAATAGGATATAGAAGCAAAATTTTAAGTGGCACATTAACAGTGGATGAATTAAAGGATATGAAAAGATTAGCAACAGCTAAAATTGATACTGGTAATCAGTTGTTAGGTATGGATATGGTTGTCCGTGATGATCAAGGAATGTTCTTAATCCTGAAGAAACAAGTACAATTCAATTATATTATCATCATGAAACAGCTGCAGAAAGAATAAAAAAAGCAACTAATGATACTAAACAAAAACCTTTAAAACTACAAACATCAGTATACTCACATATCTTTTTTGTTAGTGTAAGAAATTTTGTATGTAAAATGGCAGAAGATGTAGAATTATTATTGACTTTATATGATGGTAGAGAAATGAAAGCAATTACTGAAAATTATGTAGTATCATGGAGTAAGGAAGGACTTGCAAGAGATATAGATCAACTTCACAACCTTAGAGTTTTATTCACAGATCTTGGCTCTAGAGATTTAGCCAAAGATAAAGTTTATTTAGTTTGTTATGTAATTAGAGTAGGAGGCATGGAAGCTAAAGATACTGATCACAGACGTTCAAGTGTAGCACAAACTAATCAAAAAATAAAAAATACTGAAAATATGAGAAGACCATTTGGTGTAGCAGCAATGGATATTACCTCATATATTAATGGTAAACTTGAAGGTGATTCAGATCATCATCACTTTATTCCATTTGTACAGTAAGTATAAAATTTTATTTTAATTTATATTTTAAATATATTCATAAAAAACCTGTTATGAATATAATTATATATAAGATAGATCTGTTTTGTTTGGCTCTTTTTCATTGTTTCAGATGTTGTGAGAAAGAAAGTTTGGATGGTACATTACGTAGAATTCTTTCCCAAAAAGAAACAAATATTCAAAAAAATAGTAATGGAAATAGTGGCAGCTTTGCTGGTGGTCAGGGTTTATGGACTAGCTTAAAGTTGCTTGGGGGAGATCCAAAGCAAGTAAGCAAAAAATTAATTTTAAAAAATTAATTTATGAATATATTTTAATGAAGAATTTGATATTTAGGTACGGGATGAGAATCCACATTTAGTACTTGGTAATGTTGCTATTGCAAGAAAAATGGGATTTCCAGAAGTTATTTTACCAGGTGATGTGAGAAATGATTTGTATCTCACATTGATTAGTGGTGAATTTAATAAAGGATCAAAATCTACAGACAAAAATGTTGAAGTTACAGTCAGTAATATTTAGAAATTGATATTTCTAAATATGTTTATGATTTAATTTTTTAATATATCATTGTATCTTTTAATAGGTTAAAGTATGCAATGAATTTGGTGTACCAATACCAGGAGTTATTACATTGGGTGGTGGGGCTCTATTAATTGATGAATATCATAGTGTTATTTATTATCATGAAGATAAGCCTAGATGGTGTGAAACATTTAAAATTGCTGTACCTATTGAAGAATTTAAACAAGCTCATTTGAAATTTACATTTAAACATCGTAGTTCAAATGAAGCAAAAGATAAGTCTGAGAAACCTTTTGCTTTAAGTTATGTTAAATTGATGCAACGTAATGGAACAACTTTGCAAGATATACAACATGAATTATTAGTTTACAAATTAGATCAAAAGAAATATGAAGAAACTGACATTTCATATTTGAAATTGCCATCAACAAGGGGTGAATTGGTAAAACTAATATCAACATTAAATTATTTTTGTATATAAATATTGCAAAATTTAAGTTATTTTTTTTTTTTTTTTTTTAGTTAGATAATTAA